CTCTGCTCTTACTGGTGCAATGTGCAATCAATGAAGACTGGCTACCAGGCTGGTCCAATTTAGCCATGAAACCTCCCACACTAAAATGACAGGTGTTTCAGTTTCATTGTCCAACCCCTGTACTTGTGAGACTCTATAACAAGCTGAACAGCTAAAAGGAATGATATTCTGCACAATAAGGAATATTCGGAATATTCTTATCTGATCTAGCTCAAATGGAAAGAAATTATATTCTGAACAAGAGGGATGGCTTATGCCGATCCACAATCAGGACCCCGTCCATGTAGACACTTGTTCCGATCGTCTCATTCTGATTAGGACAAACTAACCTGACTGAGCATGTACTCTATATGACACATTCCCACCCTTAGTGGCAAAACTTAAACTTGTTCCTCCCACTCTCTCATCCTCTAACGCAGGAACAGCAACATCATGTGTTGCCAAGCCTGTATCTTAATTATGGAAAGCAATAATGCCTTAAACGCTCTCAGAACCTGGCATGGGGCCATTCCGGACACGCAAAACAAACACATTTCCTCGTTTGTTGGTTTTTTTTAGCACAGGTGGAAGTAGTACTTCTTCCGCAATAGTTCTAAGTAAGTTGCGAAACTCTGCGCATGTCAGAGTGCTCATATTCTAAAATAAGAGTGGTGCATGTAAACACAAGTCATGACCTGAATATTGGAGGATTATTAGATTTGATGCCCATATTAACGGTGTATTCGGTTTTGTTTTTTCTGTACAATCTGAATAAATTTGAATCAGATTAAGAAGTTTTGCGCATGTAAACATAGCTACTGAAAAACAAAAGGTGACCTGCTGCAGATAAATAAGTGCTCTGTTATGGTAATTTTTATAATAACTAATAATTATCGTTAGATTATGCAAGCAGTACACATAATTATAATTATACACATAACTCGCGTTTTTCTGTTAGAAATAAAAGCAGTTAGATAATGTCACATATTTTTGTAGATTTTGAATTTATTCGGATTTCCTGAACTGTACTAATTTCTGTCTTGGAAACTATTCATGTTTGTGGCTCACAAGACTTCAGTCGCAAACGTACCTTATTTTCAAACTTCTAAAAAAATATTTCTGACACCTAACATGTAAAAAGCACGGTGGCGCAGTTGGTAGCAGCAAGAACGTCGGTCCTGGGTTCGACTCCCGGCCGGGGGTCTTTCTGCATGGAGTTTGCATGTTCTCCCCGAGCATGTGTGGGTTCTCACCAGGTACTCCTGCTTCCTCCCACAGTCCAAAAAAATTACTGTTAGGTTAATTGGTCTCTCTAAATCGCCCTTAGGTGTGAGTGAGCGTGTGCATGGTTGTTTGTCCTGTGTGTCTCTGTGTTGCCCTGCAATGGACTGGCGACCTGTCCAGGGTGTATTCCGCCTCTCGCCCGTAGACTGCTGGAGATAGGCATCAGCTTCCCTGCGACCCACTATTGAAGAAGCGGTAGAAAATGACTGACTGACATGTAAACATGATATTTGTATTGGGGCTCTGTGAAATATATCACTAATACATCAAGATTATAGTAAAACTGTATGGAACAAAAATGTGGCAAATAACTGCTTAGACTGCAATTAATACGTTCCATACACGGAGGCTCTCTATGCCAGTATAATGTTTGGTGATGTCTGCTGCTAAATGGAACAGAAATAATCTTAGCAGGGCATTAAGATGTCCTGGTAAAGTCATTAAGAAACTACAACTACATTGTTTCTTTGCCAAAACAGCAGATGAAGCCAGATGCAACAATTTCAACAAAATTAATTGAGAGGGAAATAATGAATTTTATATTTTTCCTCAGCTAAATATACTACATACTATCTGGGGTCTACGCTTAATTAGAATCCAAAGCAGAAAGACTGCTTTGTTATCAGAATCAGATTTCAGCTTTATTGCCAAGTTTGTGACACAAACTTGGCAATAAAGAATGTGACTCCGCAACACGTTGCTCTCAGTAAAGATTTGTCCCCCCCCAATATAAATGGAAATAAAAAATATCTTTAAAAACGTACATATATACACAAGTGACTTTACAGAGAAGATAATGTGAGATCAGTCCAAGTATGCATGGTGTGGTTCTGGAACTCTGACGGTCAAGAGTCCATCAGAGTAACAGCCTAGGGGAAGAAGACACTGTGCAGCCCTAATTTTGTTGTCCATGTGGTTTTTTTTTAGAACAACACAAAACAGGAAAGTTATGATACACCACATTTTCTCAAAGTAAGACACAAAATGGATGTTTTACACCAAGCAAAAATGCCCAAAGTAGCAAATGGTTTCTAACTATCTTAAAAGTATTCAATCCAGGGTTCCTACACATTTTCACAACATAATACAGTGTTCAACACTGAAATAACCAGAGTTGTCTGGTGTTTTTTTTGTCTCTGTTTATGGCAGCTATACCTATTTAGATCTAGCTAAATCTCCAAAATCCACAGACAATGAAAAAGAAAAGGATGAAGACAGGATGAAGGATGAAAAGGTGGGAAGGAAGGATGAAAGCATGGAAAGAAAGTAAGAATAAAGGAAATAAGGATTGATGGATAATAAACAGATGGAAGAATTTGTGGACAAACAGGAGAATTGGGTGGATTAAAGAGTACATAAATAAATGGATGGATGGCTTTATTGGAAATGTTCCATTTCTTTCAAATGATGACTGACAGACACGTTTTAATTCTTTGCTACATCGCTTCCATCACTATGAAAAGCTATGGTGTCCTCTTGTGTTGATGACACCTACTACAGATAAAGACTTTTCAGCCTCCTTGTGCCACTACAACCATAAAACCCGGACGAGACAGCATATCAACAAACATGATGTCCGAATCTCATTGTAGTGATGTAAAAACCTTTAACAGTTAACACTTTTCAGGAAGCCAGTTGGATGAAATAAGGACACAAACCTGCAAGTCCTTCTGAAGTTTTAGGAGGTCTTCATTATCTGGGTCAGTTGATAAGGCAACTTCTACTTGCTGTAGCTGTGCCTTGTAGCTGCTCAACTGTTTCACCAGCTCCTCAGACATTTGTGCGCTAAAACAAAACAAAATGCGACGTTAACCTGTTTTCGTCTAGCTGGCGGATTGTGTATTATAAATCACATTCAAGACTTTTTTTTTTTTAAAATACCGCTTTACGAAAACCTACATAACACAATGAATTATGCGTCAACTAAAACATGAACGTTAGCACAGAGCTAACACAGTTAGCAAGGCCTTTTCCTCGACGTACGTCTAACGTAAGGAGGCTAACGCTAGCTAAGAGCCATAGAGAAAAAACAACAACAAAAAGATGGGTTGCGTGTGGTGTTACCTTTGTTCCAATACGCTCGCCTAATAAATTGTAAATAAATTAGATTCAAAGTCAAATATTTCTCCTAAAGCCGATGATTTAATTTTTGTAACGTCCTCTTCTTCCTTCTGTATGTTGAATAGCACACCGGATACCCGTAAAAAAAAAAATCCCGGGCGACAATACACTGTTCAAGAGGCACACCAGCGCCCCTATCGGCTGGTCATCGCATCTTCAGTCTCGCTTTGATTTTGGACTGAAAAAACTTTTCTCGTCACTGCATGAAAAAAAAAAAAAAACATGGTTCATAAGCTGCGATACATACTCAAAGACACATTCCAATAAGATAACGTTGTTTCTTTATAGCTTTGCACTCTTTAAACTTGTTAAAGTGTTAAAGTATAAAGTCGTATTTAACTTGCCACACCCCTTACAAAATGGCAGAGATGACTGCATGTAGATGGCTTTGTAAGTGGTCAAAAGTAAAACCCCCACATTTCCGCTACACTTTTAGTTGAAACACAGTGCCTTGCAAAAGAAATTACATCATTATAACATCTGTTACGTTACAACCACAAACTTTAATGTAATTTATTATGATTTTATGTGATAGACCAAAAAAAGTAAAACATAATTGTGAAGAAAGGAAAATGATACATGATGGCAGCATCATGCTGTGGGGATGGTTTCTTTCAGCAGATACCTTGAAGCTGGTCATAGCTGATGTTCACATGGATGGAACTAAATACAAGGTAATCCAGAAGGAAAACCTGTTACGGACTGCAAAAGACTTGAGATTGGGGTAAAGGTTTACATTCCAGGAGAACAATGACAGTAAACATACTACCAGAGCTACAATGAAATAGTTTAGATCAAAGCACATTTACTTGTTAGAATGGCCCAGTCAAAGTTCTCCAACTGAAACACTTGAAAAATACTATTCACAGCCACTTTGCCCCAAATCTGACTGAGCTTGGAAGGAAGAATAAGTAATATTTTTAGTCTGTAAATAAGAGAAGCTGCTAGAAATATTATGCAAAAGGCATGTAGCTGTAACTGCAGCAAAAGATGATTCGACACAGTATTGAATCGAGCGATAGGCCTACTCAACATAAGTGCACACCACACTTTTCAGAATATTATTAGAAAAGTGAATTACCATGTGTAATTTTCCTCCCACTTCACAAATATCAATTAGTTGGTGTTGGTCTATCACATAAAATCCTAATCAGAGACAGTGGAGTTTGTAGCTGTAAAGTGACAGCGTAGAAAAATCCTACAAGAGTGAATACTTATGCAAGACACTGCATTGCAGTAAGGCTGGGGCAACAATAGCTTCACTCACCCAGAATGTCACCCATCAGTCCAGACTACGACACAGAGGTGTTGCAAATTACCAAATAAATGAAAATGAACCACATTTTATGTAAAACGATGTGCAGCAAAAAATAAGCAAAGTTACATAATTTCCAAGAAACCGTAGAAAAAATATTTAATTAGATGGGAAGCACAAGAATAACAATGATCCTTAAAATCTTAATCGAAATAATCCCATTTGTACAGTCTTTAATTGGACATAAATAATCATTTTAAAATATGATAAAAGTCATATCTGACTTACTTGATTAAAGCTTAGTATATTATTTAATAAAACTAATTTATTTTGATTAATGTAGTCCTGCCCTAAAAACCAGATTGCATTCATCTGAGTGAGATTGCATGTCAATAGACTTGCTATTAGTGAAAGACTTAATAACCCCCATCCTCTCTCCAAAGACAGCCATTATTTCCAATTATTTTTCTTTCAAGATATATGATTGGCTCATGACACAGAACCGCAAAACGATACAGAGTGTACTCATACAACACTGTAATCTAATAGTGCACATAAATTGCTCCTATAAATCAACAACATAATTATCCTCCAAATCAACCAATGATTTAGGCGTCTGGACGCAGCACAGAATCCCTTTTGAACTCTCCAGAAGCTGAACTCCGCCCATTCCTGATCTCACTGAAGTGGAGGCAGTATCACAGATCTATAGTGTCAGATGAAGTCCATTTAAAACACCCACCTCACTTCAACTGCAACAGATGAAAAGACCTCCCTGGGCCAGAACTTAAAGGAAAATGGGTGATATATGACACAGCTTCCAGTGGATTAAGATGTGCATTTTTATACTTACAGGTAGGTGAATGCATATTTCTTACTTTTATTATCAGCATTGAGTTATAACAAAATAATTAAAATAACTGGACTGCACTGAATCAGTTTTAACAGCTTTTTTTGTCTTTTAATCCAACAAAAATATTTTTTTTGCTTATCCTTTTTACTCTCAAGGAGGAATAAAACCCTTTACTCCTTCAGAAGTCTCGGGAAAATGAAGAGACCGTTGTCTGTTGCTGTGATATTGAAGGGAATCCCTGAATAGGCAGTGGGAGGGCACGGTTCCACTCTGCTTGCAGTGAGCACAATTCAGACCTTATTTTGGACACTACGACTCGTCCTTATGGGCTGTCTCAACCTCACCAGCAGAAATGAGACTTTACCTGGCAAACAGCCTTTTACTGTGCAGACATCGGTGATGCTCACCATCCTGGTGGGCATACTCATTTTACTAACTGTGTTTGGAAACATCATGGTAGTGATTGCAGTGAGCACAAGCCGAGCCCTGAAGGCGCCCCAGAACTTGTTTTTACTCTCTCTGGCATGTGCAGACATCCTGGTTTCCACTTTAGTGATGCCCTTCTCCTTAGCAAAGGAACTCATGGGCTACTGGTACTTTGGTACAGTGTGGTGTGAAATCCACCTAGCTTTGGATGTTCTATTTTGCACTTCATCCATTGTTCACCTGTGTGCCATTAGCTTGGACAGGTA